CACACACACACACACAACATAAACTATAATACATGAAAATGCAAATTAAATGGAACAACAAAGTGGCCACAGTGGACTTTTACAGTCCTGTCACTGCAACAGACACCACTTTTGCCAACACAGAGGGTGCAACCTCATGAGTGTCCTCCTCTCTCGGTCTTCAGGGCATCCACAACAAATTTTTTTCCCTCCTCTTTTCTCCTTCACACTAACCCCCCCCATTACAGTCATTTCTGTACACTTTATTCTACTTTAAGTCTGGGTTCTTCATCCCTTCTCGCCCTGGACGTCGTCTGAATCCTCTTCAGGCGTAAGGACATGAAATAATTCCTGTACTTGTGTAGAGCGCGATAGCAATCGGCTGAAGCCTTATCTCTCTTATCATCTGTGCAGCATGTAGCCTAGGTTGGGGAGTGAACTGTCACATGGATCCCTCTGCTCTAAAGTCATCTTCAAGAGAAACTGGGCCACATCTAATCCGCCTAAGATGAATAATTAATAATTAGACATGGAGCAACTTCCGATAGCCGCCAAGAAAAGAACAGCGGGGCAAGCGCCTTTCTTTGTGTCTCTCAGCACGTTCCACTACACTCTGTACTAAAACAAAGGTTTACACAGACCATAGCTTAAAACATTGTTGAATTTTTAAATGGCTATAAAACACAGAAAGAACTTGTAGAAATATGTTTTATTTCTACTAGTTACTTGATATCCTCGCTTCACGCAGTCCAACCATGGGGAAGGTTAAAGGATACTATTGTGCACTATTGAAACCTGATTTGCTACAGGTGCACCATGCCATTTTTCAGAACCAATTACAGTATTTCATTAAATTAATTAGATCTCAGTAGAGATCTGAATACCTGAAACTTTAAACAGTTACATGAATGCGTGTTGCTGTTAGAGCCATTTCTTGTGTTTGTTGTTGATATTATTGAAGGAATGCAACATTTTCTTTTGTCTTTCTGATTTTATGAGTTAATAACCATTTTACTTTTTTATAATTCTTTGACTTGTTATGGTTAATTAGATAATAATGGTCAACTGCTGTAGAAGCAAGTGTTAGGTGAGCGTGAAGTATGTGTACAACCTCATGTTCTCTGCAATGGTAACCAAATGCGAAAGGAGGTTGCTGTCTGTATCTTTATAATTGCCTCTGTTAACTGAGGGTTTTTTCTCACATTTGTAATATGATGTCATTGTAAAAGTAATGGTCATGTATTCTGAGATAATACAATTAATTTGCAGATGCTCTAACAGACACCACAGTTGGGGAGTTGCTAAAGAGCGCTGTATATGGAACGACTTCACCAGCGTCACTATCTGTTATGTTTAAAGTAAAAGAAATGTAAATGATTCCAATCAAATGTGACTGTGGGTACCAACAAACACATCTAAACATCTTATTGACACCCATCCTAACCCTTGACACGTCAACAGTTTTCAAGCAATCTGTACACTTTCACTGTCTGACACACACACAGACACAGGGCATGGATATAAGAGAGGCTATCACTCTTGGGCAGACTGCTGTCCAGTCTCCTCTGGCCCCAGCAGAGATCTGCTCCGCTCCTCACCCTACCGTCTCACCTAACATCTCTAACCGCCACAGGCCTGCCGCCCCCTGCCCGCATCATCAATCTGTGCCGGCTCCAGCCCCTCTGATTAATGATGATCTATGCCGGAGGGATAGAGGGCTCAGGGACAGGGGATACAGGGCAGGAAAAGGGGACAGGTGCTGGTGTTTTGACCACCCATGTGGTGCCACAATGCCACAGTGCCACACTATGGCGGGCTGGGGTTGCAGTTCAAGAGGGAGAGAAGGAAGAGGTTGAGCGGTGGGGGAGGAGGGAGGGGGCAATGACCTTCAAGTTCAGGGGCAGTGGCGCAGGGTCGCACGCGGCACCAGCTGGAAATGTCACACCGTCAGATGTCAGCGGGCAGGCTAAGTATAACCTGGTCAGCACCTGGAAGGACGTCCTCTAATTAGAAGCGTGTTGGGCCATGTCGGATCAGACAGGGACAGCACACTTGGTCACCGCCTTACAAACACACATAAAAATACACTCTCCCATTTACCCACGCAGACACATAGTTATCTATATCTCAGGAGAAATGCTTACTTTGTGTGTCAGGCTGCCTTCAAACCATAGGAAAATGCTGGGCTGCACATAAGCCACTGACAAACACAAACTCAACACAAACTTAAGATTCCCAAATTCTTCTCCTCAGTGGCCTCAAGAGAACAAAAACAACCCCAGGACGTGCACTCACACACAAAGTCACACCACTCCAGTGACCTTTCGGATTGTCGCTATAAATAGAGTGTATTTCCACTAAGAATCTATGTTACAGAGCCCAATGAATTATTTAGTAGCCTAATCCAATGGGCACGTTTTTTTTTTTTTTATTCCTCTAAGCTGATGGCTCAATGACAAAAAGCTCAAGCACAAAACCAACAGGAACAATTCAGCCTGCAAGAGCAAGCTTACACTTTGGCCATTTGTCTGTCAGAATTTCACAATCACAATAGCATCATGAGCATCCAGTCTCTGGCAGATCATCTTGTGAAGTGAACACAGATCTGAGGAGGAGATGGGCATCTCTGGGTGACTGGGCATCTCTTCTGTGAGCTTCCTGCCTGTGTGAGTGCATACCCAGGCCAATGTCAGCTCTCTGTGCATGATACTGTAAGGCTGATTCTAGCTCCGAGTTGACGATGCTATCAGTTTGTCTCCATGTTATCACACCCTTCTGACACCTGCCACCAATGCTGCTTCCATCGCCGTACTCTGCCCTGTTTCTCTCCCCTTCGCCACGCTTCTCTCTCGCGCCTCATCCGTCTCGCTGCCAGGCGCTTGTCCACTCCGCCTCACCTCTCGCTCCGTGGCCAGGGTTGCCGTCAAATAACTTCATTAGCTTTCCACCTCTGTCACGCCGGCCTGCTCCCCCTCTGACAATTGGCTGCTGTTTTCTCCCGGAGAAAAAAAAAAGCACAGGGCTACGTGGGGCAGGTTGAGAACCCAACAATAGCTGACAGTGTGCTAGACACCGGACAGTGATACTGATGGCTGCAGTGGGGATGTATGGACCAGAGGTCACACACAAAAGGCCTGCCTGTGTCTGCTCATGCAGAGCTGGAAAGCAAGGGACACGCAGATTAAATCTAGATGTTCAAAGAGACAAAACTAAAGATTCAAAAAGACATTTCAAATTTTTTTTAATTCTGTGCAACAAAGCCCAAATGGGTCTACACTTGAACATGCAATAGATGCCCCTATGGTGTATTAAAATACAATAAAAATAATTAAGATAATGACATGATAATCTAGGAAATCTAAAAATCCTTAAAAGTACTTAAGATGTTCCATGTGCATTATTAGAATTCTGCCTGTGCACCATTTTCACTGTAGCGAAACATTGCAGAGATATTCTCTCAGGAAAAAAAGATAAATAAGACAACTGCAGAAGCATCATGACAGATGCAACACCTCCCACAACCCCCTGCATGCCAATTATTCACACCCAGCCAGGGTCAAGCTCGTTGTGCCTGTGTCACCGCAGCGGGGGGTGGCGGGTGGTGTTTGGAGGGTGTGCAGTGCCCACTGTCATTATTAACTCAGGGTCCACTGGGCACAGGGTAGGGGCTGTGCATTTCAAAGTGCCTCGGTGGCTTTCATCTCTGAATCAAAATGTGGATCACACTGGATAGCTAACGGTTGTGTCAGCGTGCAAGGATAAAAATCAAAGGGTATCAGTATAACACTCAATGGAAAGCAGGGCAGCCCAAAAATGATATGCTTATTATGTCAGAGGTCAGGAAGAGTTCACTGGCTTTTAATGCCTGGGGAACTCAATGCAACTCCCTCTTTGCCTCTTTCTCCCTCTCCCTCACTTGCTGTCACTTTATCTGTCTCTCTTCTTTTTTTTTTTTATCTTTCCCTCTCCAGCTTTTTATACACCCCCTATCCCCCCCAACCCCTCCCTCTCCCAGGTCTTGTGGGATTGAGGCACTGAGACAGCAGTGTAAAAGCAGAAGGGATGAGCTGCTCGTGTACACATTCAATCTGGGTTGGCAGGGAGGTCAAAAGAAATAGAGTCTAGAGGTCCCAGGAGGAACTTCCTCACCTCTCCCTGCCTGGTTGCTCTGTGGCATGGGTAAGTCTCACAAAGATCTGAGCCCAGTTCTTCTCAGTTTCATAACCCTCCATCTTTAACTCCACCCCCCAACAAAGGGAGAACTTCCTGATCAAAGAAGCAGTATTCATTAAAACCCATCATCATGCATTCAAGTTTAACATCCTCTCGTCCTGTCTTTTTATATTCTTTCTCATTCTCCTTGAATGATGCCCTGAGTAAGATGTCCGCCACTTGACACTGGACTGACATTGCGAGGAGCCATCTTGGCTCCTCTGGGAGTTGCCTGGGCTTGATTGTGCAGTCTGGGAATGAAGTGCAACTGGCACCCAGGGGGCATCCATGTGGAGCCGGGGCGTGCGAGATCGAGGGGGAGTTAACTAAGCCGGCCCAGTCCCCGTGCATCCTGGCGGGGTCACAGGATGGCGCTGAGGGCGCTAATCATTTCAAATTATGAATTCCTTTTTAATTATGAATTATGCATAAATTTTTAATTAATCTAATGTTCCCAGGGTTTTTTCCTCCCAGCCTCGCTCAAGATCTCAATCTAATTACACAGCATTAAGTGGAAGAGTGGCAGCCGTAGCCTCGACCCCAATGCTGAACCTAGGTTGACCTTTTTCCATCAATCTTGCCATCGTCTCCAAGCTCATCCTTTAATATTTTGCAACATTGTGAAATGCATCTAAACACGGTCCGGACCTAGTATACCTTTGAGCAGCATGTTTGTCAAGTTTGTTAAAATAATGCTGCATCATTGTGTTATAAAAGCTTAGGAACCTTCCATAGCAATTGCAACTTTACCAATGGCAGAAAATACTGAATTACACAATACATTTTAAGTCTTAAAAAAGGGCAAGAATTGGGAAACCGATTGGGTTTTTGCACCAAAGCACAGTAGTTCTATTTAAACCATTCTTAATGCAGGACTCCAGACCGACTTCTTCCACTTGTGTGTCATTTTGTGTGACACACTGACAGAGAGAATTGTTAGCAGAAGAAAAATGCCTAGAGGTTACAGATCTTCAACTCTCCTGACAGCTGACAAGATGTGGGTGAAAAAATTAAACCCTCAACAACGATTGTCGAGGAACCCTTGAGCAAATCATTGAAACCCCAACTGCTTCAATGGCGCTAATCGATGGCCAACAGCAGAGGACTTAGGGTGTACTACTGGGCAGACGTCAAATGTAATTTTAACTGTGTGCAAAAGAAGCAACGTATCACATAACAATCATCCTTGGATAGATAAATAATCTCATAAATGGTAGAAGAATGTAATATCATTTGGGTATCGTCATTCGGGTATCGACATTCTAAAGCAAATACAGACCATTTATCTACAGGATTAGATATGAACATACTGTACCGCTCTGATGTAGGTCATGACTTTAGTGCTGCACAGTGGTACTTCAGTTGATTTTTATGTGCATGTTCTACTCTGCTGCTACCCATCATGAAGGTACACACAATGATACACTGTTACTGCATGAGGTGCACTTTAACTGATGAAAAAAAAATGAATCAGCTCTGTTGACCATTTAGCAAAGCAATATTTAGAGGTATGGGGCAACTTAAGCCTTAGTTTTAAAAAGTACGATCAAAGCTCAATATCAGATTCCAAGCATACCAACAAGGAGTAAGCAGCCTGAGAATGCACTGTTATTATGCTAAGAATGTCTCCTCTCTTTTGCTTAGTCCAACACACCTTCGTCGTACACAGAGGTGGCATGACACAAGGAGGGTGCCAATAAAATCGGATAGATGTGCTGGGCTTAACGGTATCCACCATTTGTACATGGATTGAGCCTCAATCATTGAGATGTGTCATCTTTTGAATTATCTCAGAGGTGAAATCCTTCCTGGGATGTTACAGGGATATTTCAAGCCTTTTAATCTGCAAAGGTTTTCAGGAACTATATATATATATATATA